CATGGCTTTTGGAGAAACATCTGCAGCTGAAGAAAACCCAGTGCTTGGTAGCCAGTCTGGCCCTCAGCAGAGGGACACTGCCTGCCCAGAGGGAAGCAGCCGGCCTTACGCCGTGGACAGCCCCACTCATCCGAAAGGACACCCTGGCTGTTTAATGCCTAAGAAGGGAAGCAGTAGGGTAGTGAGAGGAGTGGTTGGCATAAAAAGTATGCAGGAAGAAGGTGCCACCTCCAGAGGGCCGGGCTCTCCTGAGGATGAAGCAAAAAACGATTGTACACCAAAGTTTGAAGGTGATTATGATGTAGAGAAGTCGACGGAAGACAAGGAAAATGTGACTGCAGGACGTAGTGAAAGTATGTGACTCCTTCCCAGGTTCCTTTGTTATACCAATGTGTAACAGTGTGTCCATGTTTTATAGTAATGACAGCTTTATAATTTAAATTATTCCTCCCCCCCTTTATTTTAAAAAATGTGCCCTCGCTATTTCCCCAACCACACACTGTTTAGGCATGGGTGACTTGCCACCCTGTGGGATTTCTAGGCTTACTGGTTAAATCCATTATAAATACTTCCCCCCATCATTTTCCTTGTCCTGACTCAAAAGAGTAGGGCGTCCCTACTGTGAACAGCTGACTTGAGCTTTCCCTGCTCAAGGCGGCCTCTCCCTCCAGTGTGACTGTGATAAAGAGACAATTTGACAGCAGTTTTTAAATCTGGGTTCAAACAATGAGGCTGTTTGTTTTTTGTAGAAAAAATTAAAGTAGCATCAGTCATTGATTCTGCCAAAAATGAGGAGGTATGAAAAAGTCAGTTTTGAAAGGTGCCGTCAGTATTTATTTTTGAAGAAACTGGTAATGTTAAATATAAAGAAATATTTATAGAGCATTTTTTCCTCAGGAAAGAGGTTTATTTGTGATAGGTCTTGACTGGCTTCTGTTTATCTTGTTTCAAGCCTGTCATTCAAACAGGTTGATTCCCATCTGTAATTTAACTGTAACCATTAAAAGGACTCCTTTTTGAGCATAACAATGTACTATATAATTGTAGTAACCACAGCAAAGGTCAACAATAATAATAAAAACACTTTGCACTTAGTTCCAGTGGTCAGAACTGAAGAGATAATAAACTTTGACCATCATTATCTAACAATTTGGTTAAGATCTGAGTAAGACTAAGTTGACTCATCATCATTTCTCTGCTGTTCAAATGATTTTAACCACTGTGTTTTCAAGATGGAGAAGTCTTAGAAGTGAAACTATCAGATTTATTACATATCTTTTCCTTTAAAGAAGTAAAAATTTTTTTTACATTTTATGCCTACTGTTTGTAGCTTAGCTCTCTGAAACTGTACCTTTATGTCTAACTAGGATTAATATGTGTTTTACAGGTATTATGTGAAATTATCTTGCTCTACTGTTAGTGGGAAACCATGTGTGGGTAGAATTGTTTTGGTAGTTCAGAAGATCCTGTTCTTAAAACTTTCGTTCTGATTCTGTTTTTATCTAGAGTGTTTTCTACATTTTTTGAATAATACTTAGTGACACATTAATGAAAATTTGGTGGAAAAAAACCTGGTTCCAGTGTGGCACACCATAAATCTCAGTGCTGTTGGAGTGCAGTGATCCCTGGAAGCAGGTGTATTTCCTGTTCACCAGGGCTGAGCCCTCTGTGTCTGTAGGCCTGAGTGTCTGGGTGGAGTAGAAGAGGATGAGGGGCACAGCCATTGGTTGGCCCTGAACTTAGTGGAGATTTGAACGTTAGGGCAATGACATGGTATGGATCATCTTTCATCTCACAGGTGTGCAGGCAAGCCTGGTGTGACTCAGTGTGACTCAGTTGGGAACACTTTGTGTGCCCTATTATAGGGTGACGTATAGTGTCATGTCATGCCCACGGGACAGAAAACTTTTGCACCCTAGGGTAAGAAAAGACTTACACATTGCCTAGCTTAGATCTAAGCCCTTTCTTTTATGCTAAACATTAAGACTCATTGATGTTTTAAATTATCAACTGTCAGTCCAACTGAAATTAACTCTTGGGGAATCTACCTTATGTAAAACCTTAAAGCCTTCCATTTAAATGGACAGGTATATCTGCCAAAACCATGGAGCAGGGATGACTACTACCAGACTTCTCCAAATCTTTTATGTTGAAATAAAGTCTTTTCAATTGATGTTTCCAACTCACTTGTACTTGTCGTCTATCTAAGATAGCGTGTAATAAAATTTCACTAGCAAGTCAAAAAGGGCTCAACAGTGGACACTAATTGAACATGAGTGGAGGGAGAGCGTAAGTTCCTTTTTTAGAATAATCCTTAAAAGCAGTAATTTTATGTTAATTCTCTAACTGTAAACAACATACAGGTACATTCCCATTGAAACAAAGATTGTTAAAAAGAATAAATACTCCTGTGTCACGCTCTTCTCCCTACCTCCTTTCTCTGCTCGATTAATTACTTACGTCTTGCGCACTTCTAGCTTTAGGGGAGGCAGGAGGAAACAACCTGTACTCCCCTAATGCATCCCCCTGCTGCATTAGAGGCTGTGTTCTGTGGAGAAGACAGTAAATCCACATATGAAGAGGGTCAGCTAGTGGGCAGCACGTAAAATACACAGAAAAACGTCAGGCATAAAAGCACAGGTGGGTAGATGTGCGGTCAGTGAAGGCTTCTCTAAGGAGGTAGGGAGGGCAGGGAAGTGGACCTGTGACTGCTAACGTCATGTTTCAATCCAAGCTATGGGCAAATACGAATGTCCAGCAGTAGAAGAAAGCCGGCAGGAAAAGAGGCCGGTGTAGTGACACGCCATCGAGCTTTAGGGAGGCGGCTAGGAACTGGATCAGAAAGGCAGAGGGAGCCAGACCATGAGGGCCGCCAGTCCTCACCAGGAAGAGTTGTTTTCATTTGTTTTCCAGTGTGATGAGATGAGAAGCCACTGGGGATTTTGAGTAGGGGAGTAACCAAATCTGATTGATTTTAAGCGTAAGCCTGGGTACTTTGGAGAACAGGCTGGTTTAGCATGTTCACTAGAGGCCATCGTTGTCAGCCTTGTGCTCCCGTCCAGACAGCTGTGAGCACAGGTTCACAAATGCTAACAATTCAATGGGTGTTTTCGCATACAGAGAATTTTATTCGGTTGCTTTAAATTTACCTTTTTAAAGTTAGTATGTCAGATGTGTTTCCATATTGGTTATCAGTAGATCGTCATTTTTTTGGTATTAGTATCAAAGACTGAAATTTTGAGTAATGGATCAGATTAGGTTTATGGGTCAAACTGAGGAAGGAGGTACTTACCTAGATAAATAATGAGAGAAAGATGTTTTCACAAAGTTTTTATTTGACACTCAGATTTGAGTACAATTTTTTGTACTGATAAGAACGGAGTATTTTTGAGGGGGAGAGTTGTATTTCATTTAGTTGGGGCTCGAATAATTGAAAATTCCCAACTGATAGTAAGTATTCATCAAGGCTGATGCAAAGTAAGATTTTCTTTTTGCATGTGGGACTGGGGCCTGAATTCAGTGTTTCGTGCTTACAGAGCACCACAAAGCAGGTGCTCTACAACTTGAACCACACCTCTGGTCCGTGTTGCTCTGGTTATTTTGGAGATGGGGTTCTCAAGAACTATTTGCCTAGGCTGGCCCCAAACCACGATCCGAGATCCTCAGGCTCGCAGGCACCCAAGTAGCTAGCGTTATAGGTGTGAGCCACTGGCCCCTGACTCAAAATAAGCTTTTCTGTCTTTCACCTTGAATATGACCAATAGCACAGATGGGTACTGCCAAATTCTGAGTCCAATCCACAAGCAGGGGGTTTCCATCACCTGCTAAGAGGTTATTTATGCTGATTTTTGCTAAGAGGGCATTTAGGGAATTCTGATAGATTCATCTCGGCATGCGCCTTCCAGTGTGTCCTTACACTGTAGGTTAATCACTTGAGATTGGAAGCCAGCAGAAGCTCTGCAGCAGTGCAGTAGAAAGATCTTGAAATCTTGAAGAGATCATCCCTTTGCTCTTGTGTCAGGTCTGGAAACCCTGCTGTAACTGGCCAGAGCCTAGGAAAAATGTCCATGACAAATTTTTCTGGGCATGGACACCTTGCTTCTTGTTTAACTTTTATTTATTTATTTATTTTTTGAGAAAGACATTGCCTTTGTTGGCCTTGAACTCAAATTCTCCTTCCCTAGCTTTCCAAGTGCTGGGACTACAGGCATATCCCACTGCACTCAGCTGTTTTAACTTTTGACACCACAAGAGAGGAAGCGTATAAAGCAGTTCAACAGTATTTAGTTATTGAAATGATACCCCTCCTGTCCCCGCACTGCTAATGATAGCTCTTCACTCTCCTGAAGTCAGTTTGAATTGCCAAGTAGATAAATCCAGTTGGTCAACCTAAGCCTGTGCACAGTGGTGCTCCTAGCTGTCTCTCACCAATGAAAGTGACTTGGGCTCCACAGGTGTCACTTGGCCACCACAGAAGCAAGTTCTTTCCACACCCACACCCCACTGTTGACTGTTGCTTTAGTGCAGATTTTCTTTTGTGCTGTGTGTGATGGGATTTTACATGTCGGCATTTTGTACATGTGTGTTAGCTTATCTGAGCAGTGTGGGCATACCCATCTGCTAGGTTCTTTCATAGACAGTGGTCACCAACTGTTGAAAGTTGATTATTCTATCGCCAGCTCCAGCTGCCAGATGTTAATGAAAGCAAGTCACAGACACATGTGAAACGTTTGTTGTCAAGTAGATAAGACACAGTCCACCAAGCAGAAAAATAGCTGCCATCCCAATCTCTATCCCTTAGTTGACTGTCTATATGTTACCTGAAAAGCTTATTAGAAGGCAGACAAAGTTGTAAGCACAAGTTCCTATAACCTTTTTGTCAGTACAGGCTACCGGTGATACTTTGACCCTGTACTTTGTCATAGGGGATCAGGGCTTGGTTAGCATCCCTGTAACACTTGTTACAGCACGTATTAGACTTTCATGCTTTACTCATGCATGAAAGTCTAATACCCCTGTGATGTTCAAACCATTTTGTCTTTCTTGAGTCCATGAATTAGTCAAGGAGAAACTTCCTGACATCCATTATGCTGGTTAACCAGCTGGTGGTATCACTATTACAGCTCACTTGTATCAGCCATTGGGCAGCAAAGGATCCAGTACTGAGCTGAATGATGTGGATTGTCTTTGGAGTGTGTTGTCTGTTAGCATGGTAACTGACCACCTCTGGAGTGGGCTTTTCTTGGGGATGAAATAACACATGTGCTTAATACCATATAACCTGTGCTGAAGTATTATAAATGATTACTGCTATTGTCACAAAATGTTTAGTCTTAATGCATCAGTCTCTGATGGAAAGGGCAAATACTGCCTGTGCGGATCTCAGGTTGGTGGTCACTGCCTATGGCCCTAGGCTAGAATAGATGATGAGGTTGCACCCTGGCATTCAAGAAAAGTGACATGCATTGCAATGTATGCCTAGAGAAATGATTAATATGGTTTAAGGTGGGGTTATATTTAGATTGTAATTTTGGTGGAAAATTATAGGCAAAAATGCTACAGTAATTGTAAAAGTTATATATATATAACATGTATATGTAACTTATAGGATATATATACATATATATATGTACATAATCCTAAAGCAGGGAACTGTGTTTATAACTTCAGACTGGATTCATGATACAAGCAAGTTTGATAATGCTACTAGTATTTTTGATGCATTTCACTGAAGCATCAGCAGTACCATTTTGAAAATGCTTCAGCTTGAGATGTGAGTCAGTTGGTAGAGCACCTGCACAGCAAGTGCAAGACTCTGAGTTTAATGCCCAGTAGTCTTTCCCCCCAGAAAAAAGTTTAGACTATTTTGCATATTCTGAGTATTTCTTCATCAAGAGGAAGTGAGTTGTTACTGTAGCAAATAAGTTATAGCGTGTATTTCTTAAACATTTTAAGTTGAAGGGTAGTTATTGCAGTTTTTAACTCAGTCCACAAATATATTCAGAGCCCTGTTTCTCTATGTGTCTTCCCCGAGGGTGCCAGCGTTCCTCATAGGCTAGAGATGGGGTGGAAGCAGTCCTGAGAGCCGGACGTGGTCAGTCAGGTTTAACATGAAGGCTGGCCACAGGGAGGGTGGCTACTGATTATTCAGCTGATGGCTTGGTTTGTTTGTTTATTCACTTTTTCACTACCCCACATCTACTGTGCTCAAAGTATTCAAATAGGCAGCATGAGTGACACTGATAATAGGAAGCTCTGTCCCTTCCCTTCCCTTGACAAGTTTGGACAAGTAGGGAAGAGAGACCATCAACATAACCCGTGTACAAGTATCAGGGAATTGAAAAGATGGAGAAAACTCCCAGTGGGAAAATTATGTAGTGTTAAAATTAATTTACACAAAATTGTCTTTATGGCAATTTTAAATGAAAAACTTCAACATTATCTTCGGAAGATCATGCTTAGATTTTGTCAAAGCAAGGTTGTTATTTTAGCAGATGAGTGAGCCCAGTCTCAGGTTATGTGGCCCATGTATATCATCCTTAAAAATGTCAACTAATTCATCAAGCAGGGACCTGTTGGGGCGTCGGGAGAAGAACAAGGAGCACATGTAAGGCGGTAGCAGTTGGAGTCAACTCTAAACATTCCACATTGCATTTGTGTGGTTTATAGGATCTCTACAGAGCTCAGCATCAGACAAAACCACATTTCACTTGATGGGTGTCTTAGTTTGTGTGTCTTGGTGGCAAGATGTTGGCCTAAGGTGGAAATCTGGGGACTGATGATGGAAACAAAATAGTTATCATTTGTAGTTTGAAACCTAAGCTTTGTACTGAGGACTGTTTTCTAGAGAAACTTACCCCAAAGCTGGGATTGCTTAATGCATTAATATTGCCTTCTCTGACAATCTGGGTTCTGTTCAGTTTTTTTAATCTAAGAATTGAAGTTTGAAGAACACACAAGATATAGGCACAGATTTTCTTAAAGTATCAAATTGACAAATGTGATACTATACGACATTGTAAGCAAATGGGAGAAATTGTTTCTGACAACTGAGTTAAGTGAATCACGAGGTATTTCGGTGGAGAAAAGTGAAAGTTCTCAATAGATCTAAAAGAGCAGGACCGATGCATTGTTTATTTAAAGGCCCTATAGTTTCCTGTTACCATTATGCATAAATGTGATTTTTAATTTTTATTTTGCTTAAATTGCATTAGTATTCAGTCCATGTAAGTTCTAACTAACCTTCAATCCACTTGGGTTTTAGATGTTAAAAATGGACCAACATGGCGTGATGTTTCAGACAGCTCCAGTGAAGGCTTTCAGAACCTTGCCAAGCCTCATGAGGAACCAAAGAAAAGTTGGAAAGGCAAAAAGGTCAGTGCGCGAAAATATTATTTTAAACTTTCAATACTGCTAAATCTTAATGTTCTACTCTGGGTTAATGAAACATAAACTAGTCTATGCAATTTGTATTTATTTAAAAAGTTGATTATTGGTGAATGCTGGAAAAGTCTTGCGTATAAAGCTGAGCACGTTGGTCTCATTCAGGGTGCGGAGTTAGAATTGATGGACCGTGCTTGTTAGGTCACTTGGCAGTGCTTTCCTGGCTTGGGCTTGCGAAAGTACCTACAGCTTCTCTCCAGCACAGTGACTTTCTGCAATCAGCATAAATGTTTCCTAGGTGAGAAATCTTTCATTTGTGAACTAATCAAGGTATGATGTAAGACCCCCAGCGTCTTGGTTTTATGAGGTCCATGAAATATGGTGAACCTGAATTCAGAATGAGAGGGGAAAACTGGGTCTAGGGAGATGAGTCAGCGAGTGGTAGAGTGCTTCCCGCATGCACAAGACCCCAGGCTTGATCCCCAGCACCACACACACACACACAAAGATCCAGAATGCTGGGGGAAAATGTACTAATAAACCACAAATGAAAAAGGATAGTAGTTAACAGGAGATTTGTTTGTGGTTTGAGTATTTTAGAAATGGAAATTTAGATAGTAGTATAGAGAAGGATCATGGCTTATTATTTTACAGGCTAAAAGGAAGAATGCAATTTTAGATTTTAAAGATACAACATTCTACTATCTTGACAGAGGGAGTGAGGAGAAGAGTTTATTTGGCAATTGTAGTAAATTTTTAATACCAAAAACCTGAATCTAATGTTTTTGTTGACTCATTGCACATAAGATGTCAAATAAACTCTTCTCCTCACCCCCACATTTCATACATGTATGAAAATATCATAATGAAACTCATTATTTGTGTACAATTACTATATACTAATCTAAAAAGTACTGCAGAACTGTAGATTGGTGAATTGAATAGAAGTTCCTGACTTGTAACCTACAGTACAGTGTTAGTCTTGAAGGTTGTGTTGGTGTCTTGCTCATCCCCTTTTCCCCACTAAGACAGAGGTTTTTACCTGCTTGTTTTTATTTCCCTATTAGAGTTTAAGATAATTTATGTTAGGCTGAAATTTGAGACTTTTTAACAGTCCTGTTTTTTGTATGAGTATATATTAAGAAATTAGATTTTATTAAGCACAAAAGTTGTTGCTAGTTTTTAAAAAATCTCGCAATTGAATTTTAATGTGGGGAAAAAAGCAGTCTGTAGCAACTGTCTTTCATCGGTGAATTGCCGCAGGACAGGCCTCTGCGATGCAGGGCTGGTGCCCCGAGCACAGGATGGGCATGTTGGCTCTCTGGTGTGAGCTGGTCACATGCTGCTGGTGTGGTAGGAAAACAGCTTGGAATCCAGGTGTGCCTCATGGCCCTGGTGAGCTCCTTCTGCTTTTCTTCTTAATCTTGAAGTCGCACATACAAGTAATGCCCTATCTTGTCAGCCCCCTGCACAGTGGGTCGGATAAGAGCTATTGATCCTGAATTCTGTGTAATATGAAGGTGTGGGGAGAAGGTAGGAAGTCAATGATCGGAAGCGTGGCGCCTGGGGGAAGGTGTGGCCGGAGAGATGCTGAACTTGGTCCCAGCGCAGGTTCAGGGCAGGCATGGTTCTGATCCTTGGTTTTCTGTGGCTTTCCCATGTCTCTGCACCACAGTGCTGTTCCTGTTGTTAGCTTTCTGGCGGGTCACAGGCTTTCCTGCCTGATCTGTTCTAGAGAATTCTCAGCTATTATTTCTTCTGCCTGTTTTCTCAAGCCGCCACTGCTGGGAAAGTGGTCCTCATGATATCCTCTACCCCATCTTCTTCTATCTCTTAGTGCATTCTGGATTTTTTTTTTATTGATTTCTCTTCCATTCCCCTTTCACTCACTCTTTTTAAGTATTATCAGATGTTAAACCTACTAAATCTAGCATTTTGTGTATTGTACTTGATGTACTTATCAGCCCATATACTTCTATTTATTTTATCATTTTTAGTTCTCTGCCGAAATTACTAGTCTTGCATTTTATTTTTTGAGCACATGAAGCATACTTATTTTTGAAATCTGTACCCTGCAACTCCATTTTCTGGCTCCACTTTGTTACTGTTTTTACTTTTTTGTTTCGTTTTTAAGTTTTTTATTATTATTGTTGTACTGGGGGTACATTGTGACATTTACAAATGTACTTACAATATATCTTAATTAAATTCACTCCCTCCCTCATTCTCCTTTATCCCCCCTCCCCATTCTTAGAATAGTTTCAACAGGTCTCATTTTTCCATTTTCATACATGAGTACATAAAATTTTCACAATATTCACCCCCCTATACCCTTTCCTGTTACTGTTTTTACTTTCTGTTTTTTTCTCTTAAGTTTCAATCATATGTTCCATGTCTAATAGTATACCTAGTAAGTTTTGGTTTATCTTCCAATCAGGAATTAAGATGATTTAAAGTTGGGCTCCTATCTCTGGGAGGCTGCTATCCCCAGGGACCAAGAACTTCAGGTGCTGCTTCTTCCTCTTCTTCCATAACTCAGCATCAAACTAGCTGGGCGGTGTCTTCACATAGCTGGTGCTAGTTTGTGTCTTGTCCAGCTTTTCTAATTGACCACAGTGAGGAGGTTGTTCCAAACTATTTGATCCACCATTTCTGGAAATAACAGGTGAATTTTAATGACACTTTTAAAAAAGAAGATTTACAGTGTTTTTTGATATCAACCCCTTGAGAAGAGAGCATTGAAAGACCCAGAGAAAGGATTTTTAAGTTGAACTTTCTAAGCAGGGCGCCAGTGGCTCACGCCTGTAATCCTAGCTACTCAGGAGGCAAAGATCAGGAGGATTTTAGTTCAAAGCCATCCAAGGCAAATAGTTCAAGAGATCCTATCGCAAAAATACCCAACACAAAAAAGGGTTGATGGAGTGGCTCAAGGTATCGGTCCTGAGTTTAAACCCCAGTACCAGAAAGAAAAAAAAAGATGAACTTTCTAGTTATTGTTTGCAAGAGATCCACTGAACATCTAAAACCATCTTAATTCAGCTTCTCTTAAAGAGTGAAAATAAGTATGATTCAATAAAGAATGATAGAATCTCAGAATTACAACTTCCATTTGAGCATTTTTGGTTTAAGACCCACTTTCAATGAGAAAAGTCACTGCATAAATAGTGGGAAAACCTGTTGTCCATTTCAGACTTAGGATTTTCAGTATATACCAGTTTGTTGACTCTGTTTGTTTTGAAGATCTAGGTAAACAGTTTTGTTACCTCGGTGCTCTTAGCTTATAATATATAAGTCACAGGCAATGGAAGGCATCTTTTCAGAGGGAGAAATGTAAGCTGTCAAAATTTGACCTGATTTTCCTTGTTGAATATTGTCAAGTATAGAACATGAAGTAGTTCAGTTGTAGGATTAATGATAGTATTCTGATAAAAATATTTTTTCTCCAAAGTTTTTTATTCTACTACTTCTGAGTTTGTTATTGTGGTTATTGTTGTTCAAAAGATTATTATCCTCAGCAAAATTTTTAAACTGAGTCATCAACTGGGTTGCTTTTCATAAGTGGCTTTTACATCTCGTTTTGGAGCCATACCTGCCAATCCAGATTGTTCCATAAGAGGGCAAACTGTGGGTCAGAGCTCAGAAATGTTTACAGATGACTTTCCTGAGCTTGGAGACCTGGGGAGAACAGAGGACCAAATGCAGTGCCCTTATTTTGACAGTGATTTTTTGTTGGTTTTTTGTTTTGTTGCTTTTTAAAACAAAAGGAACTGTACACATCAGATAGAATGCTTACATTCCTAAAAGTTTCTTAACTATGTTAGGAGACACGTGACTAATAGCTTTCATATGTTTTGGTAATTGCTTAATCTTATATTTTTTTGCTGGAATATGAGCCCATTAGGACATAAACTATGCTACGTCCTATGCATCTCTAAGTCCTCAATATAATATAGCACCACACACAAAAAAAGCATACAGTAAATATTTTCTAAGCAAACAAGGAATATAGTGAGATGCCTTTTACTTTTTGTTGAATGAGTGTAAATCATTTCTAGCACGCCTGCCCCTCACCCAGGAGTGTAATCATCACCTACTACTTCATCTCTTTGTGGACATTCTTCCTCACCTTGAGAGATGGTCTTGCATCAATGAAAGATAAATTCTCTTCTCCATCATTGCGTGTTGCAGTTTGTTGTTGCTAAAGGATTGACTGGGTTGAATCCTGCCATTTCCTCTACCCCAAGAAAAACGTCCTGAATGAGTATTTCATTGCTATAAGGAGGCAGTAATATTTTATGAGTGTGGTTTTCCAGTTTGTGGTAATCCTAGGACTTTGGCTATTTGCCACAGGATAGTGAATTTGTCTGGAAGCATCATACTTCTGTAGGTGGTTTTGATTTAAAATTTAACTTTCAAGTTGACATAGCAGTGACTCATGCGAATGACAGGTGATTTTTTTTTCTTTTGCTTAAAAATTCAGTTCCAAAATTTTGTTAGTAAAGATTTAGGGGAATTGCCACACTTCCTCAAGAACGACACTCTGTAAATGTCCCTGTAAACAATTTCCCATTGTTCATTCCTGCTGCTGTACACAGTGAGATAGGGCCTATCTCATGGGTGGGTCCTTTCAGTGCAGATCACTTAACAGATGGACTTACCAAAACTGAAAGTGCCCTAGATTTCTAACACAGGTGGTCAGTGGTCTGTAATTACTTTGATGAACTCCTGTTGGCAGAGGCGCTCATTGTGACAGGTGTGAGGTCCATTGGCTGGTGCTACTTCATGAAGCCATTTAAAATCAGCTGCTTCTTGATGGCCCACAGTTGATTTCAGCTCCATTAGCATGTTAGTTTTTTTCTTGTTATGCAAAAGAGAAAATATTTCCATAGAAAACATTAAATGGAATCTTCAGAATACTGCCTCATTTCTTTAATGTGCTTTCGATGTTTAATAAGAATGGCTTTTAAGCCACACATTAGATGTGTGTGATT